TAAACTAACACGAGTCTCATTAAGTGTCCAGTTTAAGGGTATTACATAGAAACATACCAAGGGAACATGAAYCAAATATGCACTTTTATTCATTTACAATAAACTCATAAAGTACATCATTCTGATTGAAACTAAGGGCATACAAAACTRTCTAACATATAACAAGGATGGTGTTACTTTATATATGCTGATGATATTCTTYTCACAGGGAACTCTTCATCAGCTACTGCTAGACTCTATCTACTCTATCCCAGTCCTTTTCCTTGAAGGATGTTGGTCCAACTAAATTCTTTCTCAGCATGGAGATTACAAGGTCCTCTGATGGAATTATTTTGTCTCAATGCCATTATTTCCTTGATTTGCTGAAACGTGCCAACATGGTTTCTACTAAACCACTTACCTCACCAATGGTCACCGCATCCAAACTATCGAAACACAGTGGGGATTTGCTCGTTGATCCTTCAGAATATGGATGTCTAGTTGGGGCTTTACAGAATGTTACTCTAACTCGCCCCAATATTTCTTTTTCGGTGAATAAGGTGTGCCAATTTCTCCATGTTCCTACAATAGTTCATTGTGCCATAGTAAAACGTGTTTTACGTTATTTGAAATTCACTTTGGATCGTGGACTTCATTTTTATTCCACCTCTCCTCTGTCACTTCATGCCTTTTTCGATGCTAATCGAATAGGGTGCTTAGATGACAGACGTTCCACTGATGCTTATGCTATGTTTTTGGGTCATAACCTCATTGCCTGGAGCTCCAAGAAACAAGCCATGATTGCATAATCAAGCACTAAATCTAAATTTCGGGCATGTGTTAATGCTGCCACAGAAGTGTTATGGCTACAATCTATGCTTTTTGATCTGGGTCACTGTTTACATTCATCACCCACTATTTGGTGCGATAATATCAGAGCCACTTATTTGGCCTCCCATCCTGTTTTCTGAGCTAGAACACATCACGCTGAGGTGGATTTCCATTTTCTCTGAGATCTGATGCTCTAGAAGACATTGCATATTCAGTTTATATCTTATGGGGATAAAGYTGCTGATATTCTTACTAAAGCTATCAGTGGTGCCTAGTTTGATGTGCTACAATCCAAGCTTTGTGTGCTACCAATACATTTCACTTGAGGGGGCGTATTGGAGGTTAACTCGTCCGCGAAGCATACATATTCTACTCAGTCACCACCACAGCTTGGGTTCTTCAATTCTCACTCAAACTCTTGTAAATAATTACTAATTGTTCTCATCTATTTATGTTGTCCTTTATCATGGACTCTTTGAGCCTTGTCTCTCTGTACATTCATTTGTTATAAATATACATGGGGTCTTCTTCACATAGCTGAACCATTCTTATTCTCCATCTATTTGCTTCTATTATTCCATCTATTGGCTTTCCATGAATAAAAATACACAACTATAGAAATATTCTCAATAGACGGTTGTAAGTGGCTGTAGATTAGGAGTGGTCACGGTTTTGTGAGGATTGAATCCGATCTTGTTCAAAATCCCAAGTTGCGAAGCCACTAACATTCTACTAATGAGCAGGCCTTAGTGCCTGTGTCCACCATTTGGGAGTGGTTTAAAGCAGCTACCATCCCGAGAAGAGCCAAACTTGGCATGCTGAATTCGTTAATTTCTGCTAAGGCTGTTTGAAAAGAAATCAGGCTTAAGAATTTCTTACAAAAAGACAACAGATAAGAGGTTGGGTTATGCAGTTGAGTTTTTAAGAAATGGTAGATACATGTATTAGTGAAGCTGAATATGGATGCGTAAGTAGGGACAAGCTGGAACTAGTGGTGCAAGAGGTTGCCTTGAGAAAGGGTTTGGGTGTTGATACTATGGTATCTTTAGATGTAGAAGGGAGTGATTGAGTGATGAAACAATAATAGAAATAAAATGATAGAAAAACTCTCACACACTCATGAGAGGGAGAGGTCTGTATTTATATACATGAGAGTTACATAGATAGTAGAGTTACACTAGGAATGAAACAGAGGAAAAACAGGGATAGAGTTACAGCAGGATTAGTTGTTAACATGGGATAACGATAAGGCTAAGGCTGGGTTCTTGTCCTTATTGTTCACATCCCCCCACAAGATTAACGGGGCAACGTTGAGCTTGGAACGTATTTGACTAAACAGTTCAGAGGAGAGCCCTGTAGTGAAAATGTTAGCAACCTGAGCAATAGAACTAATAAACCGAACATCAAGCTGGGGTTGAAACACCAAGTCACGAATGAAGTGGAAATCTACTTCAATGTGTTTAGTGCGAGCTTTAAACATAGGGTTGGCAGCAAGGTAAGTGGTGCTGAGATTGTCGCTCCAAACAATGGGAGTAGTAATGAGATGTACACATAACTCCTTTAGTAGATCCAAATGATCTTTGTTGTTACATTGGCAAGTGGTCTAAGTTCAGATTTAGTGCTGGAGCGAGCCACTATGGGTTGCTTAAGCACTGCAGGAAAGGAGATTATCACCAAGGAATACACAGAACCCTCCAGTGGAGCATCTGTCATCGGAGCAACCAGCCCAATCGGCATCTGTGAACGCTGTTAGAGATGAAAGAGAGGAGTGATGAAATACCAGGCCCAGGTGGATAATTTGTTTGAGATAGCGGAGAATCCATTTAACTACTAGAAATGTGTAGTGGTGGGCTGATGCATGAACTGGCAAACTTTATTAATGGAGAAGGAGAGATTTGTTCTGGTTAATGTTACATATTGGAGCGAGCCAACAATGCTTCTGTATAGCGTTGGGTCGACGAGAGGTTCCCCATCATGAGATGAGAGAGAACAATTAGCAACACTGGGTGTCGAGATAGGCCTGGAGCCCAACATTTCAGCTTTATCCAACAAGTTCAGAATGTAGCATTGCTGAGACATAACCAACTTCTCACCATCATGATGAACTTCTAGGCCAAGAAAATAATGTAAAGGACCCAAGTCCTTGACAGCAAACTCAGATCCAAGTTGAGCAATGGGTTGATCAATAGTTGAGGTGGAATTCAAAGTAACTAAAATATCATCCATGTACACAAGGATAAAAATAGTGACATTACCCCGATGAAGGAACAAGGAGCTATTATAGGTGGAGGCCTTGAAGCCTAGCTGAACCAAAAAGGAGTACAGTCTGAAAAACCAAGCCCGTGGGGCCTGTTTTAAGCCATAGAGAGCCTTGTGTAGCCGGCAAACATGATGGGGAAAAATAGGATCAATAAATCTTGGAGGTTGGGCCATATACACCTCAGAGAGCACACCATGAAGAAAYGCATTCTGAAGTCTGAACATCAAGTTGACGAATGAGCCAACCTTGAGAATGAGCAATAGCAATAACAGTTTTGATGGTGGCGGGCTTCACCACAGGGCTGAATGTATCTGTAAAATCAACTCTAGGTTGTTGTTTGAAGCCCTTGGCTATCAAACGGGCTTTATATCTCTCGAGAGTGCCATCAACTTTCTTTTTAACCTTGTATACCCACTTGCAACCTATGATGTCGCCATGAGACAGTAGTGGTACTAAGGACCACGTGACATTTTCTATAAGTGCATTGAATTCTTTGCACATGGAATCACGCCATTCTGGAATTTTGTTTGCCTTAGAAAAACATGTTGATTCAGGTAGAATGCCATGTTGTTCAGAAATCTATAATTCCGGTATGGGATGTTTTGTAGACATACGAAAGTTCTTGGATGCCACATAAGTGGTAGTTGTTGGTACAGGAGCTGTGTGGTCTAACAGTTCTTGAATAGAACAAGTGCCCCTAGATGGAGGAGGGGAACTATCATCATCAAAGGAGGGAGAGATCTCACTGGTCATGGGCATAGGAGATGACTGTGATGACATGGAGGGCTGGTCAGCACCGCAATCCTGCACCGAATTGTCAGTACCACATGGTCCCTGCAGTAGATTGTTAGTATCATGAGAAACAAAGCCAAGGGGAGGTGTAGGAGAGAGTATGGGCTGGAGTGGGACAATGATATAGGTTCTAGAGGGAGGTGAGCGAACTGATAATGTGGGTTGGGTTATATGAAATCGATTCTCATAAAAAACAACATGATGAGAAATGTATAAGCGGTTAGAGGGGAGATGAAGGCATTTGTATCCTTGATGTGACGAACTATACCCCCGAGAAGACACATGGCTGATGTTTATTGTAAGGCCGAAGCAAGGGATATCAACAACAACAAAAAAAACCTTGAAAAGAGTGTAGTTGGGTGGTGTTCCAAGAAGTTTTTCAAATGGTGAAATGTGACAGGCGATGGTAGATGGTTAATGAGAAAAGTGGTTGTTTGTATAGCATCATCCTAAAAGGAAAAGGGGAGAGAGGCATGGCCCAATAATGCAAGGGCGGTCTCAACCCGATGCCTGTGCTTTCATTCAACATGTCCATTATATTGATGGGTGTGGGGACATGACAAACGATGGTTGTGAGTTCTGGGAAATTTATGGTGGGCTCAAAAGAATTGGAGTTAGTACCCATTTTTTAAAGGAAATGGCTCATCATTTTCAGGTTTGAGAAGCTCAACTTAAGTCTTTGATAGTGATTCCGTCCTCCATCAAGGAAAGGTACTGAACTAAAAGGTTTTGGGTTCCAAAGATTGGGAGAGGGAAGGTGTTAGGCACCCCTCTCTCCAAGCTGCTATAGCAGCCCACTACGGGAGTAATTCAGGTTCCAATTTTGACAAAACACGAACAAACATGATTGTCCAAAGTTCCTGAAATCTGATGAAAATATTCCCAACTTCGCCCAGAATTGATTTGAGGTGATGTTATCGGGTCTTAGGCACTATTTTCCCTAAGATCCTCGCCTCTCTACCTCTTTTTCTCAATCTAGAGGAAGCTGGGAATGCAAGTTTCCTAGGATTTCAGGGCTTTAAGTAACCTGAAACTAAACTCAAAACAAAGAGATGGTGGAATGAAAGGCTTACCTCTCGTGTACGACCTTGAAACAAGCTTTCTAGGAGCTGAAAGGACCTTAAATGAAACTTGAATAGGGCAAGAGCTAGGTGGGGCGTTTCCGGTGTTGAGTCTAAAAAACAGGGGATGAGGCTTGAGCTTGGCTTCAAGGATTTCGGGGTTTCAAGCAAGCTGAGTGTGTTACAGGAGTTGGGCAACTCTCCCCTTCTCTCAAGCTCGAGTTGGGCCTCTATTTATAAAGAAAATGGAGGGAGATGGGTCTGAAGCTCGTCTAGCTATAGTGTCTATAGCTTAACAGAGTTTTTTCACCGAAATAAGCAAGGATTTTCAGAGAGAAAGGCTTAGACTTGACTTTTCCTTCTTTGTGCAACAAATCTTCTTGATTTTGGGTGGTTTCTTATGGGTTTCGAGCGTTCAATGAGTGATTAGGGCGTGCTAGACGTTGCAGTCCCGTATTTGGGACTAATAGTGGCAAAAAATGTAAATTTGAAAAACTTTTAAATGCTATTTTGTATTTTCTTGATTTTAAGTAGGGGATTGCTTTGCATTTTGAGCTTTTTAAGCCTATTAGGCTCAAATTCATTGGTCCAAGTGTTTAAAGGGGGTTAAGTAAGGAGCTAACGTCAGTCCCCTCCCACTTAAGATGATAGGTTGGACAGGTGACGTGGCGATTTAATCTGGTGCATCAAAATGGTATCTCTCTAATTTAACAGTCAAATTGATGAATATGGCTATGAAATTTGGTGTTGTGGGGCTTTTTTGGGTCTCTAGACACAATGGTGAGCTCTAATTGGGAAAATGGGGTCGGGATGATTGAAATCTATGGCTGACAAGTTCAGATCAATAAGATTTGTTGAAACAGAA